GATGTCTCCTTGCACGAAGAATTGTATCCTCTCGCCAGCATCGTTCACCATAAATGGTGGACGTCCCGCGGGCCACACAAAGGAATAGCCGTGAAGCATGCATCTCTTCCCAACTGACAGCACAGAAGGTGTATTCTCCAATACATGTGCTTTGATGGGCTCCTTGAAGGATTTCGTCAAGAATTCCGCCGTCTGGTTGGTCATAGTGACACCATTCGCCGTCTGGAACGATGTAGATTCGCAATCCATTGCAGTGTCGATGCCGTGCTTGGCGACCTTTTCTAGAGAGATAAGGTCATGTCCGCATCCTGTGTCCATGATGAATTTCAGCTTCCTGCGAATAAATTCTGGTTGGACCATACACATGTTCGGGTTCTTCATCAGTTCCTTACGACTCTCATCAACGCTCAAGGCTCTTTCATGGAACTTCCCCTTCTTGTTGTCGAACTTGAACATAATCACCTTCTCGGTTCCTGGAATCCTAACTGGTATGCATCCTCCATCTTTGCCCAGACACATATCTTCCATCAGTCGAGCCCTAGCTCTTGCTTTGTGCTTCTCGTACTCGACCTCCGAGATGTGGTTCTCGTGCTTCAGGTTCGCTTCTGTAAAAAGTCGTGGGGCGAATCCTCTATCTTTGTGTGACCGCCTCGGCTTCGATGGTACGAACTTCGTTCCTCGTTCAAAGGAAACCTTGAGGTCCTTGACGTCCCTGTGATAAGATCCGATCTCATCGCCGGTGGAGCAATCTGACGCCGCGTCGCCATCGATTGATTCATCATCAGAATCACCGTCACCATCATCCAGGGATCGAAGAACAGGTACTGCAGGCAGACCTCGAATCGCAATCGCGGGTGCGGCAGGTTCAGGTTTCTTCTTCTTGTCCTTCGCCTTCGCCTTTGCCTTTGCCTTCGCATTCGCGTCGGTTTCCCCAGTTGCGGGCGCTGCCTTAGCCGGGTCATGCTTGAAAGGGCAATTCTCTCGGCTGCAGGATCCGTTCTTGCTCCACTGAAAGCAAGGTCGTTCCGATGGTCTTGATGACGGGCTTCGCGCTCTCTGGTTCTTATCATCTCGTGAAGACGGTCGTCCTCTGTCCGTATCTTTGTGACTCCATTTGCAATTCTTTCCTGCATTGCATCCTCCTCCGAAGTGAAATTTGCAACGAATCTTCGCCTTTTCCTTGTCGGTCAGCGATCGTGATGATGAAGGAGATCGGGATCGTTCTTTGCCTTTACCTTTCCCCTTCTTCTTGTCCTTTTCGTGTGCCTTTGCTTTACTCTTTGGGAGTACAGGCGCAGCATCCGCAGCTTCTTTGTCCTTGCCTCTCTCATTCGTCTTCTTCTTCTTGTCCTTGTCTGGCGCGGATGAGGGAGGCCCTTTGGGATCGGGCCTAGCTGGTGCAGCAAGCAGGTCCTTCCCAGCAACCATCTGGTTCAGACCATGTTGTGTCTCGTTGAGGTTCTTCTTCTCTCTTCTCCTCTGCACTGCCCGGTCCATGATCCTCAGCAGCATATCATGTGATCTCTCTGGATCGTCATAGCTCTTGATGTCATAGTAAAGCTTGAGCTCCATGTTCATCTCGGAGGATCCTGATATCTTCTGGTACAAGATGTCGCGGAGGGCATTCGTGGAAGGTACATCTTCAGGTCGAATCCGAGAGATGATCTCTAGCCACGTTGCTTTGAATGCGGCAATCTTGTTGTCCCCAGGATACTGCAGTTTGGTCAGGTAATCGATCGTGTAAACCATGTCAAGGCGATCCCGTGTGCGGAAGCTTTCCATCATCATAGCAATGATCTGTCGTCCCTTCAGAACCTTGTACTCGTTCCCGCGAATGTACGCGTTTGATTTGAGGTTCACTTCCAAGAACAGATCGGCTGCTTGATCTCCAGCATTCCGTAACATGAGAGTCATCGCACTTGCCAGCTTCACGTCGATGCTTCTGAACTTGACATGTCCCGAGTCATTGAGCCCTTCAACATCCGGCATCGGCTTGAAAGACTCTTGCAGCCATTTGATCCAGTCGCTTTGATTGGTATCCGCACACGCGGCCAGGACGTTTGTGGTGACTGCTGCCTGCCAAGCGTCCAAGTGAGTGACCTTGGGAAACGCAGGAATGTTGATCTTGTCGGCTTCTCTTCGGGATATCTTTGGCCCTTCGGTGTAATCAAGTCCATCTTCGGGTCCAGATCCACCGCCACCTCCTCCACCACCACCGTGGGGAGAAGAGTCTGGATTGCCACCACCATCACCTCCTCCACCTCCTTTCTTGATTGGCTTCCAGGATCCGGGGTCTGTTTTGTCTCCGTCCTCTTCTGGTTCGCCTTCCTCCTCGTTCTCTCCCTCTTCACCCTCCTTCTCTTGCTCCTGTTCTTCAGCAATTGTACGCCATTGATCTCGTTCACGACGAAGACGAGCTTCGGTGTCTCTCATTCTGCTCATTTCTTCCCGAAGATCATCCATTTGCCTTCGTAAAGCTTCTTGCTGAACAGTTGTCGAAGCGTTTGCGCGAGGATCTTGAGGATGATTGGGAGCATTCGGAGGAATTTCTGAAGCCATTCCAGGCGTAACCTCGCCCGTATGCCGCGAACGCGATGGTTGCCGCACACACTGGTAGGACGTGGACGCCGTAGGTGGATCAGCAAGTAACTGTGAGGTGTGTGGTCTGGTAGCCAAGCCAGGAGGCAAGTCCAGCAAACCTGTCGTGAACATCCTTCCCGGAACCAGGTTGGGAACTGATGGTACTTCTGGAACGAGAACGGGAGGTCCACCAAATAACGATGTCCTGGTAGAAGTCGGTCGGCTTTCTGCCACTGGAATAGGTGGTCCTCCGAACAACGATGGCCTCGTGGGAAGAGCCAGAGGACCCGAACCCTCCTTTGAGGCATCTCCACCCTGGGAATGAGCCGGCGAAGCCGAACCCACCCCAGGAATGGTGTTCTGGACCCATGTCTTGAACCTCGATTCCGTCGTAGATGACATTGGCACATCACGATCAACTTCTTCCGGACTGCTGTAAGCTTGGGTTATTCCTGAACGGGATTGAACGCTTTGTGGACGCGAATTATGCACACCTACCCTAGGCACTGAAGAAACATTATCCCACTCAGACGTTCCGGCTGACGTAGGTCGGTTGTACATTTGAACCTGTCTCGCAGCATCCAATTCCGATGTCAGTCGTCGATTGACGTCCTCATGAGATTGGCATTCCGCTCGTACCCTTTGCAGCTCCTCATGGATGCTAGGCAACGAAGCATGTTGGCCTTCCAATCGCTGCTCCATTTCGTGCACAGCTTGTCTCAAAGCAGCTGCTCTTTCTTCTTCTTCGTGGTACTGAACGATGACGCCATGAATGTTCACGTTCAAGAGCCTGGTCTGATCGCGTTCATCCTGCAATGCCACGCTCTCATGATGAGCATATTCTCGCATCTCGCTCTTCTGCTTCTCGGATGCTTCACGTGCAAACTCGGAGGTTCGCAGCTGATCTTCCATCTGGGCCACAATGATTTCGGCTTGTTGTAGATCGGCTCGCCTTCTCAGATTTTCATGTGCTCGAATGTTCAGCTCCTCTGTAAGTCGCTGATATTCTCGAGCTATCGTGTTTCCTTCACCATGGGCCGCTTCTTCCACGTTGACCATGTACTGCGCCATCTCGCGTTGCTGGTGCATCAGCTGCTCCTGAGTCATCGTCGCTTGGTGATGATTGTCGGCAGCATGTTGCTCCAGCGTTGCGATCGTGGCACCAACGACTTGCTCACGTTCAGCGAGTGTAGCTTCGTGACGTTGATGGATATGAGCAGCCAGTTGCGCGTTCTGATCACGTTCGCGTTCTAGCTGCTCGATCCTGAGTGATGCCCCATAGTCTTCCTGTTGCATCTCCTCGATCTTCAGTCGCAACATGGCAATGACCTCTCCCATTTCCCGCCTTTCGCCTTCTTCCCGGATTCGTTCCGCTAGAGGGTTAGCAGACTCAACCGGGGGACCCGAATCGAGCCCGCTCCTACCGCCAGCCGGAGGTTCCGAACTGGGGAGGCCGGTGCCCAAAAGAGGGCCACCGTACCCTCTTCGCGGTGACGTTTCCGGTCGTCCGGCGTCCGGCGAGGATCGTGGAGAGATTCGTGGAGAAGTGCCTCTTCTTCGTCGTGGAGTACTTGGAGTGTTGGATCTCTTTGATGTTCGTTCCGATGATTGTCTGGAAGTGGATCTGAGGCGTGAAACTTGACTCATCTTCGAGTTTCCATCTTCGCGCAGTACGCTCAAACCACTTCTGGTTCGTGCGGGTGCCTTCGCAACCGCGACCAGCTCAACGGCATCATCTGATGATGTAACCGCATCTGTGTCGGCGCAGCCTGTGCTTTCGCCCAATGCAGGTGCAGCAATAGCATCACCATCACCGAAGGTCATGGTTGTGTCGGCACTCGACGACGAGGTTGGCAGTGCCATAGCTCAGCCCGTACAGTAGTCGCAAGTCGCAACCGCTATACGGCTGATAACCTGCGTGAGGTCGGGTAGTTGCTTGCACTACGCTTTGGCTCCTCACCAGCCAAATGGTCTCGCACTTGTTTTCTGCACTGATGTTCGCCTTCAGTCTCCGTCTCGTGCACCCGGGCGGTTTCCAGTTACGCTATTGCGCTTACTTCCAACCTATGAGTGACCTACACTCTAGGGATTACTTGAGCCAACATGGTGAACAGGCCACGGCGTTCTAAGGTGGTTTCCCCGATGTGCGGCGGAGCCGACACAAAGGGGTTCCCAAAATGTGCTGTGGTTCGGGGATCATTCACAAGCGCAGACATACTGGTCCATGAGGCTGGACTGACCATATGGCTGGGTATGTACGAGCCTCTGCAGTCCGAGTGAAATCCAGCCGGTCTTCGACATAACGGCCCAACAAAAAGACCAGTTCACTCTCAAGTGTTTGGTTTGGACTAGTTTTCCGCCATTCTGGTTCTCTCAAACTGGAGCTTCGACCCTTTGCTCAGTGGTTCCAGCCAAGCAGCAGGCATCGGCCGATGTCCTCCAAGAGTCAGCTTTTAGGGCTTATGTCTTAAACTCACAGTCCTTCAAAGGGATGAGAGAAACACCCTATGATAATCCCTGTTAAGGACTGTTAGTATAAGGGGGAGCATCCCAACTTGTGCGGTTTCTGGCGCTTGTAGGGTTCATCACAGGGTTTGCAGCGTCGTCAGCGAACCGTTGCAATCATGTCACCCTAAACCCTAAACCCTAAACCCTGAACCCTAAACCCTAAACCCTAAACCCCAAACCCTGAACCCTGAACCCCAAACTCAACCACAGCTCCTCCTCCGTTGGACACGTGACCAATGGTGCACTGCTCCTGGCAGCAGGCGATCGATCTCGCGACACATGGCAGGATCTGCAATCTGTCCCAAGGCGTGGCACACCCATTCCCATCATCATTTATCAGCATCATCATCATCATCATCAACATCATCATCATCATCATCATCATCATCATCATCATCATCATGACTCATAAAAAATGGTGAAGAAAAACAATCATCCCAACGGATCGGGAACATACTGAAAGAAAGTCCCCCCCCCCCCCCCCCCCCCCCCCCCCGCCCCCCCCCCCCCCCCCCCGTGTCAGGGGATGTCTTCACCCCGTTCTGTTCTGATCTGTGCAGCCGTGAGTCCCTCCCCAACAAGGAGTCCATGACCACTTACCAATTCTCCCGAAAAAAGCGCCACCCTAAGTCCCTAAAGGCGCAACTTTGGGATGTTCCCCCTTATACTCACAGTCCTTAATTATTCGGGGTTGGGGGAACTATAATCCCTATGTAGGACTGTTAGTATAAGGGGAACATCCCAAGCATAACTCCTCTCAAAGTCTGAACTGCTGAACATGCGCAGAAATGCCACATGTCATTGACGCACAAATAAATCCGGAAACCCTCACCCCTGAACCCAATAAACATCCCCCCCCAAGAAAACACAACACAGACCTTAAGCTCGCAATGGCCTGGCAGTCTTCCAGCGGGAAGGGCTCGTCGGCCGCCTCGCGACACGCGCCCGTGGCCTGCCCGGAGGAGCCTGAGCTCGATGGCTTCTGCACAGGGGGGGCGGGGGGAGGGGAAGGGGGAGGATTTGTTTAGGGTTTAGAGTGTGTAGGGTGTGCAGGTTATGTAGGGTGCGTAGGGTGCGTAGGGTGTGCCGTGTGTAGGGTGTCTAGGGTTTAGGGTGTTTAGAGTTTGTGGGGTTTAGGGTGTTCAGCTTGCATAGTTTAGGGCTTATAAGCGTGTATAAGGTTTGTGCAAGGTCCATAAGGGCTTGTAAAAGGTTACTAGGGTCCGGGCTTCTGAGGTTGTAGTGCTCGGGGTTTGGGGACCTCTCATTTGGTCATTTGGGCGGCGTACAAACGCCCCACTCTCCCACACCCAGGACCCAGGGTTACCTCCCAAAGCTCTTAGAAACCCGAGGTCTCCCGGATAGGCTTCACAAGGATGCTAGGGTGCCACAGAGTGATATACATGAGCAAGATCAGAAAGCGAGAAAACCCGAAACTGGCCAAGGTCAAGGCGAGGGTGGAGCGCAAGCGGGGGTGGGGCTCAAGGCTCAAGTCGGGGCGCACGCCTGGGTGCTTTTAGCACCAGCGCGCCCCCTCAATTGAGACACCCTAAACCCTAAACCCCAAGCCTAAACCCTAGACCCTAAACCCTAAACTCTAAACCCTAAACCCCAAGCCGTCCTAGATCCATAAAACCCGCCACCGGGTGCAGGCCAAGGGGCAGAAGTAGCCGCCCGATTCGCCTGTGTGCCAACTTTGAGGGCCTCGCAAGGCTTTCTTTTCTATTTTTCTGTCGGGGAGGCAGGCGGGTTAGGGTTTAGGGTTTCGGGTTTAAGGTTCAGGTGTTTAGGGGTGTTTGGGGGGATTGGCCTTTCTTGACCTTATAGGCGGTTTAGGGAGTTTAGAGAGTTTAGGGCCTAGTGTCGGGAGCTTAGAGTTTCGAGTTGAGAGCATCTGGGCCCCGAATCCTCGACGACGTGACCCTAGACCACAAAACCGAAGCCAGCCCTGACATTGGGGCTTTCGGGTTTAGGGTTCAGGGTTCAGGGTTTAGGGTTTAGGGTTTAGGGTTTAGGGTTTAGGGTTTAGGGTTTAGGGTTTAGGGTTTAGGGTTAAAATCCTAAGCCCCGACCCTCACCATGCAAGCAGGGCTCAGTCTTTTCCCTCGTCCTCGCCACATCGCGAGATGCTGCCCCAGCTGTGATCCCTGTCCTTGGCTTGAGGAGTTTAAAGTTTCAGGGTTTAGGGTATAGGGTTTAGGGTATAGGGTTTAGGGTATAGGGTTTAGGGTACTAGTTGGGAGGCTGGGGGCTTCAGGGTTTTAAGGTTTGTGGAGTCTGGGGGTTTAGGCGCTTGGTGGTTTACGTGACCAGAAGTCGAAGATGTAGTCAGTTGCTTACCACACCAATACAAAGGATGGTAATTACTGTTTTGGGCTAAGTTAGGGGGACCCCGATCTGGAAATACCCCAAATGCTGCAACCAGCACTTGAGAAGAGGGTGCAAAAGATGGCCAGCGATGAACGGTGCGGAGACGTCTCTGTTTTCAAGCACATCCACGGCGCTTCTGTACATAATTTGAGCAACTGCCAGCTGCTCTGGGATGCCGGGGGCTGTACAAGCACTCTGGTGAATCTGCTCTCTTTACATGGCCTCAGTGGCTGCCACGGGCTATACAAGTGATGGTCGCTCCTTCCAGCTTCAGGCTTTCCGAAGGGGTATCTCACTTCTCCGATTTGTGTGTCTTGGACGGACCGTCGCGGAGATGTCGAGAACTTCTGGGCAGCTGAAAAGGGCGCCTGGCAAGACATCGGCGCACCCACCTAGGTCCAGCGATAAGCCTTCTTGAACTTGTGCATCTGCTTAAGCTGGCGTTGTCGAAGCTCCTTGAAGTTGACGACCTGGTACCGCAGGTCGGCAAGTTCGTCTTCCTGCTGCAACGCGTCGAGCTTCACCGCCTTCTCTGCTTTAGCCTCCGCCCGCTCTGCTTTAGCAGCTTCCTCCTCCATCGCCTTCAACACGCTAAACGTCCGCTCGCCGGTGCAGCCAAAGCATGGGCAGCCACCATTGAAAATGGGCTCAGAGCAGAGCGCACAATCCCCACACCAAAATCGCCTCGTCACGGTTTTGGCGTAGTAGCTACAGTTGCGCAAAGTCAGAGGTGGCAAGGGCTCCCCATCCGAGTCGTATTCGATCTCCGGCACCTTCTGGATGACTGTGAGATCCACCGATCCATCCTGAACGAACTTGCCCAGCAAGCGGTCAACGGTTCGCTCCCCTGTTCCGTGCAAGGTCTCCATGCCATGGAGCAAGGCCACATGGTCAGCGTGGAACCCAAAGGTGCCAGCAGCCTTCTTCCAGAGCTTCCAGGGGTCCTCCTCTCGATGAATGCAGAAGTCATGGCATACGCCAGACAAGCCCCAGAGGCGGACGGACACCATGTCGGCCATGGCAGCGGTTCCCTAGAATCTCCTTTGGATTCGGAAGAAAAGATAAAAATGAACCTGGCGCTCTTCCTTGAGCACCCCTGATTGGCCCAAACAAGGCTTGCTTTTGTGGAAGAGAGGAGGGGGGGGGGTGGTTCCTGCTTGTAAGGGATTCTATCTAACATGGCCCGCAGTTGTCAAGGCCCCCGCGATTGAAGGCGCCTGTTCAGGGCGCATGCGTTCGCTGGCGACTCATGGTTGTTGGCTGTGAGCAGTTCGTTCTGCCACTCCCCAACGAAAAACCTGCCAAGAGTCAATGTAGTCGCCGCAGTACGATGGATGGGTCTTTCCACTCTCGCAGCAATAGATCTTCTTCTCCTGCAGCTACGAAGGCTTAGGGTTCAGGCCCTCTCCGCATCCCTCTATGCCCCCGTGACTAGCTGGCCCCTCCTCCATCCCGGAATCTCCTACAGATCTCGTTCACTCTTGCAGAATTCCTTCACCCGAATCCCCCTAAACCCACCCTAAACCCTAGACACCCAACGGCTTAAGGCTAAAGGCCTGACATTCCGACCCAGGCAAGTCCATCCTCTGGCCACCAAGCCCAACGGTGGAGGTGCCGCTCGCAGTCCCAGAATTCCTGAGGCTCAGGGTCGAAGGTGTTGGGTTTTTCTGGGGCTCAGGATTTCCGGCCCTAAACCCTAAACCCCAAAACCCTAAGCCCTAAACCCTACTCTAGGCCCTAAACCCTAAACCCCAAACCCTAAACCCGGAGACACACCCCCTAAACCCCACCGTAGACCCTAAGCCCTAAACCCAAACCCTAAACCTTAGGGTGCATATGCTGTTTAAGGGCTTTGGGGGTTGTCAGGTCTTGAGGTCAAGAGGACTTTGGAACCCTAAACCCTAAACCCTGAACCCTAAACCCTAAACCCTAAACCCTAAACCCTCAGGCCCCACTCTTAGCTGAGGCGAGGGGCCGGCTTCGGATGATGACCTGGCAGGGCGCTGCAAGGCTCAGGGATCTTGGGGTTTAAGGCTGGGGGCTTTTCAGGGTTCAGGGTTTAGGGTTTAGGGTTCAGGGTTTAGGGTTTAGGGTTTAGGGTTTAGGGTTTAGGGTTCAGGGTTCAGGGTTTAGGGTTTAGGGTTTAGAGTTTAGAGTTTAGGGTTTCGGGCTTAGGGTTCGGGCTTCGGGAAGATAGGACGCGTCATATCCCACCTGTACCAGGCTTACTACATCCGCTGAGTTTGGAGCAGGGCAGACTTTAAACCTCCAGAGCCAGACACTCCTCAAAAGACCTGCTTGGGCAGGGCTTCTACGGCTCATGAGCCCTAGATCCGTAAAGCCCTAACCCCCCTACCCCCCTAAAGCTCGGGACCCGACATCCCAAGCACCAAGCAAGCCCTAAACCACCACTAAAGCACCTGGGTTTTTTCGCGAAGCCCCCCAAAGCAGCTAGAAGCCCACGGGAAGACTCTGAGCTTCTCAGGTGCAAGTCTTCGGGTTAGGAGCTCTCTTGAAATCCCTAGAAGACCAGGAGCCTCAACTCCAGCAACGCAAAGCCACGAAAAAGTATAATAACCTCTCTTCAAGTGCCCCCATACCCAAAGAACCAAAATCACACCTAGATAGGCCATGGGAGCTCTAATCGTCCCCTCATTTTTCCTCCATGTGAGAAAGGGAAGCCTCCGATGGCGCAGTGGCCGATCCGGCATTGTTCCTTCCAAATGAACGCTTCGGCACTTGGGGCATTGGGGTTTAGGGTTTAGGGTTTGGGCATTTGGGGCTTAGGGCTTCAGGCTTGGGATGTGGGCTTTTCGCGTGATGGATCGGGGGCTTGGAAGGTCCAGGGTTTCAAAGTCAAGGTGTTTAAGGATGCGCAAGGATGTCTAGGTATGTATATCGAAATATATAAATATTAAGCGAAAACAAACATACATACATACATACATACATACATACATACATACATACATACATACATACATACATACATACATGCATACATGCATACATGCATACATGCATGCATGCATGCATGCATGCATACATGCATACATGCATACATGCATACATGCATACATGCATACATGCATACATACATAATGTATACATATATATATATATATATGTGTGTGTGTGTGTGTGTGTGTGTGCGTGTGTGTATGTTCATAAACATATATATACGTATATACATACATATATATACAAAACATGCTATCAACGGATGATATTGGCAACTGTCGAGGCTCCTACTTCCCAGCTCCCCCCTGCTCCCAGCCTGGCAGTCTTCGACAGGGTAGGGGCCATCCCCGGCCGGCCGGCAGCCGCCGTAGGCAGGATCGTTCTGGCCCGAGCCTATGTTGGGAGGTTAGGTTTGGGGCTTGGGGTTTTGTAGTAGGGTTTTGGGCTTTAGGGTTTAGGTTTAAGGGGGAAGGGTTTAGGGTTTGGGGTTCACAGGGTGTGCTTAGACAGCTGAGGGCGTAGGGCTTGGGGATTTGGGATCTAGGATTCAGAGGGGTTGAGGTGAGGGACTCAAGCTTCGCCATCTTACAGGGCTGGTGTCCAAGAAGGTCACAGCCATTTGACACAACAATCGCCACTAGACCCTTGTAGCTTGGGATGCTCCCCCCTTGTACTAGCAGTCCTGGCTGAGGATTATCATAGGGGCTACTATAATCCCTATGAAGGACTGTTAGTATAAGGGTGAACATCCCAACTTATAGCCCTTCGCCCGACTCTACTGAGACTCAAAGGCGAGACACAAAGGTACCCACCACTCTCGCCAGTGAGCCAACTGTCCGGGCCTCCAGATGGAGCACGGGTTCCAGGCTTAGTGTTCTGGGTTTAGGGTTTGGGGTTGAGGGTTTAGGGTTTAGGGTTTAGGGTTTCGGGTTTAGGGTTTAGGGTTTAGGGTTTAGGCCTTACGAGGTTTGGGTTTTCTGCAGGTTTGGGGAGGTTCCCCCAGCCCCTAAAATAGGGACTTGGTAGGAGTCACGTTTTGGCAAACAACAAGGGCAAACAGTTAACCGAACCAACAGCTAGATTTCACAACCATAGGAACATCAACAACCCGTTGGAATCTCTGCGCAACCTCTGGTTCATTCTGTCGCGGGAAGTCCAGATTTTGACCCGATACCCTATTATTTCACCTCTAGGGCATTCAGGGCTTTGGGATTCTTCGGGTTTAGGGCCTGGGGGTTAAGGGCTTTCAGGGCTTTTCGGGCTTGGTCCTTGGGGCGTTGACCTAAAGCCCTAAACACCTGAACACTAGCCCAAAAGCCCTAAAACCTGAACACTAACCGCAAAGCCCCAAACACCTGAACCCCAAAGCCCGAAAGCCATGAAAACCCCAGCCTAAAGCCCAAAAAAAACCTAAGACTCTAAAACAACTAAAACCCTGAAGCCCTAAAAAGACCCCTCAACCCTAAACCCTAAACCCTAAACCTGAAGCCCTAAGCCCTAAGCCCTAAGCCCGAAGCCCTAAACCCAAAACCCAAAACCCAAAACCCTAAACCCTAAACCCTAAACCCTAAACCCGAAGCCCTAAACCCAAAACCCTAAACCCAAAGCCCTAAACCCTAGGCCCTAAGCCCTAAACCCTAAACCCGAACCTGAAGAAAAGCGACCCTAGGAAACCCTAAACCCTTCCACCCGAAAACCCTCCGGGACTCGGGCACTTTGCAGCAGCTTCAGAAGAGCACCGGGGAGGCAGACCAGGAGACTCCTCCTCCTCCTCGGCCGAGCTTGGAAGGTTTAGGGGTGGCAGTTTTGGGTTTCGGGTTTGGGGTTTAGGGTTTAGGAATGAGGGGGTTTACGGTTTAGGGTTTGTTTAGGGTTTGGGGTTTGGGGTTTGGGGTTTGGGGTTTGGGGTTTGGGGTTTGGGGTTTGGGGTTTGGGGTTTGGGGTTTGGGGTTTGGGGTTTGGGGTTTGGGGTGTGGGGTCAATATAAGTGAGACGGCTGATGCTTTAATCAGCATGTGTGGCATATCATGCTTCCAGTTTGGTGATGATGTCGTTCAATTTTGCACACTGTTCTTGTAGGACTCCCAACCAAGCGTTTGTCTCTCGCTGAGACAGCTTTGAGGGTTTATGGCATTTTCGAAGGAATTTTTCGGATTTAGTCAGGAAATTAAACCGAGCATGGCAAAAGTGGCACGCTATGCCCTGGCGCTTCCACTCAGGACAAGCAACGTGAGGAACTTTGGTGATATCAAGATCAATATAATGATTAGCGTTAAGGTTTGGGGTTTGGGGTTTGGGGTTTGGGGTTTGGGGTTTGGGGTTTGGGGTTTGGGGTTTGGGGTTTGGGGTTTGGGGTTTCCAGGGTTTAGGGTTCAGAAGCTGGGGGGCCAGGCTCAGGTTGTTGCTTTTTGGCTCAGGGAAATGGTTGAGTCTGTTGCTTTGCTAGGGCCACTTTCCGTTCATCTTCATGGGCTTCCCTAGTACCCCTCCCCCCCCCCCAGGTTTCCGCCTTAAATGACCTCAAATGAGGCTTCATTATCCTTGAATAGCCTTAATTACGGGGGGAACCTAGGGGGAGGGGGGTAGTATAGAGCGGGTAGTAGGGGTAGCTATGATATCTTGTGTGTAGCCAACTCATGAGAGGTGCATGATAGCGTAGCCCCGAACATGGTTTTAGGGCTTAGGGTTTAGGGCCTAGGGTTCAGGGTTGAAGGTTTGCGGAGATTATGCCAAAAACAAAGGTCAGAAGTTGGGGTGCTTGTTTTTGGGAGGGTTGGATGAAACTGGCCCCACCCCCCCCCGAGCCCACACACTGACTGCTGCCTGGACACGTCATAATGAGAGCAGAACTTCTTGGCATAGTCGTCGTGCTTGCAGCAGAAGCGCTTCTTCTCCTGAAAGTCTGCAAACGCCATCAGGATTTAGGGCTTAGGGCTCAGGGCTTAAGGCGTAGGGCTTGGGGCTTGGGGTTTAGGGTTTCGAAATCACAAGATACTTCGTCATCGTTTGCAGTTTTGGGGCAGCGCCCACATCCAACCGAAGCAAAAGTCACCGGGTCACTTCAGAAGCCCGAAACCCCAAAATAGCCTAAGATCAAGCACGCTCCTAAACCTGAAACTAAATCCTGGAACCCTGAGGAAGCTCCTAAACCCCTGAAGCGCTAAACCCAAAAAGCCACCTACAGCCTTACAACCCTCCCTAAACCCCTAGACCCCTAGACCCCTAGACCCCTAGAACCCCTAGAACCCCTAGAACCCCTAGAACCCCTAGAACCCCTAGAACCCCTAGAACCCCTAGAACCCTAAAACCCTAAAACCCTAAAACCCTAAAACCCTAAAACCCTAAAACCCTAAAACCCTAAAACCCTAAAACCCTAAAACCCTAAAACCCTAAAACCCTAAACCCTAAACCCTAACCCCTAAACCCCCTTGCTGCCTCTGGCCACCACCCCTAAACCCTAAACCCTAAAACCCTAAAACCCTAAAACCCTAAAACCCTAAAACCCTAAAACCCTAAAACCCTAAAACCCTAAAACCCTAAAACCCTAAAACCCTAAAACCCTAAAACCCTAACCCCTAAACCCCCTTGCTGCCTCTGGCCACCACTCCCAGCGATCCAAGTGCCGCTTGCAGTCCCAGATTCCCTCAGCAAAGCTTGACTTAAGGTTAAGGGTTAAGGGTTAAGGGTTAAGGGTTAAGGGTTAAGGGTTAAGGGTTTAGGGTTTAGGGTTTAGGGTTTAGGGTTTAGGGTTTAGGCTTTAGGGTTTAGGGTTTAGGGTTTAGGGTTTAGGGTTTCGGGCTGAGGCTTTCGTGGAGTTGGGGTTGGGGGCTTAGGGTCAAGGGGAGTCGTGCTGTTTTGTCTCAATCAAGATCTTGCACTCGGGGCGTAGGCTTAAAGGGATAGGAGTTTAGGGTTGAGCGTTCGCAGGGCTTAGGGGCTTACAGGGGTTTCGGGTGCAGGGCTGCATTGGGGATCCCTTTGACTCTTGGGTTTCGTAGTTTCGGTTTCAGGGTCTAGGGTTTCGAGTTTGGGGGGCTATGGGAATCAAGCGACGGAGGTCATATGGCGAGTCGCCCGCATTACGAACCCTTTTGGGGGAGAAAACTGAATCTGGTCAGAAAAAGCGGCCGCACTGCAACAGACAAAGACTCCACAAACAGGGCCCCAAAACTTCCTAAACTCCAATTTAGAGAACTGATCCTGCTGAGCTTCTACCACCGCTACCGCACATAATTCGCCTCGGCTTCCTGCCGAGAAGCGTCTGGAACAAGCAGACCCGGATCGGGCCCTCTTCCCCCTAACCCACGCAAAATTTTGTGACGCCAAACCCCCGCCCCCCCCCCGCCCTGTGGGACCCCCCCCAATCGCTTGGAGGAGCTGCAAACCGGTGGCTCCTACAGGGGGAGTGCCTCCAACCCACCCCCACCCCCCCCCCACCACCCCCCCCCACCCCCACCCCCCCCCCCCCCCCCCCCCCCCCCCCACCCCCCCTTTTTTGCGAAACCCTCTTTCCTCCTTTCCTGTCCTGGGGCCGGCCCGGCTGCCGAGGCGGCGCACGCAAGCGTTTGCAATTACGATTAGTTGAGGGGCCAGGGTAAGCCCAGGGTAAGCTTAGGACTTGGGGTGTAAGGCTTAAAGGTCAGGGGAGGGCCCTGAACCCTAAGCCCCGAAACCCCAAGCCAGCAGGAGGGGGAACGTCTGCAAACCGCCTGAATGGGACGATGCCCGAAGGGATTTAAGTGTTGAGGGATTTGTGGGGTTCGAGGGTGTGGGTATATGGTTTCGGGCTTTGAGCTTAGGGTTTAGGATTGAGGGTTTGGTGCCTAAACCCCTAAACCGTAAACCCTAAACGGCGTGGGTGCAGCTGAAGTCACGGGTACCGGCGGTTCAGGCTTACCTCAGTGGCATTCAGGCTTAAGTTCGAGCCAAGGGTTTAGGGCTTAGGGTTTGGGATGTTCCCCCTTATACTAAGAATCCTTAGTAGGGATCACAGTCTAGGGCCCCGATTATCATCCCTATTAAGGACTGTTAGTATAAGGGGCAAGTCTTGGCAACTCTACGGATAACGGGTTTAGGGTGTAGGGTTTAGGGTTTGGGGATGGGGGTTTAGGGTTTAGGGTTGAGGGTTTAGGGATTCGGCATTAGAATCAACCCCAACCGTCGCCGCGACGTGTCGCTAAGCCTTAATTGGTTGCAGCATGTCGGTCTTCACGGCAGCAAAGTGAAGTATTCGACTCACTAATCCTAAACCCTAAACCCTGAACCCTAAACCCTAAACCCTGAATCCTAAACCCTAAACCCTAAACCCTAAACAACCCTAAACCCTAAACCCTAAAGGTCCAAGTAGGCAGACACAGCTGGCACGTTGCGGGTTCTGATCGAGTGAAATTATCTTTGTCAGCAAGCTCCTCGGTCCCACAGGTGATCAAGCTTCTGGCTTCGGATCCCGAAGCATCGTACAAAACTTGCTGTTGGTTGGTAAGGAATGGCGGGAATGAGGTATACCCTAAATCATCCCTCAAAGGGTACATATAGGGCCCTCATTCCCCCAATTCCCTGCAACCCAACCGGAAAACACTAAACCCTAAACCCTAACTCTAAACCGTAAACCTTAATCCCTAAACCCTAAACCCTGGCGAGGTGCTGTCCGAACCGCCGCAGTTCCCGATGCAGCACTGAACCTGGCGCAGAGTGAACCCCCCGAAACACCGCGGCTTAAAGGCACACCCTGCGGAGGTTTAAGGTTTAGGGTTTAGGGTTTAAGGTTTAGGGTTTAGGGTTTAGGGTTTAGGGTTAAGAGTTTAGGGAAACACCTCAACCCCTGAACCCCTGAAATCGCCGAACCCCTGAGAGCGCCGAAAGCGAAATGCACCTGGAGGGCCGCTAGCCGGCCCTACCCGCTGCAAAGATGCTAAGAATAGGGTTTGGGGGGAGGGGGGGTGCTATTATGGTATAGTTCTAAAGGGACCCTAAGGGAACACTACTAGTCATTACTCCGACCCCTATTTTACGTTTCCGAATCTGATTCTTACGATTCTGGACCCAAAGTTTTTACTCGGATAGGATTGTGGAGCCACATTTCTTCGATGAGAAAGGCACTTCTTGCGAAACCACCCTCAAAACTTAACTCGGATAAAACCCTGAACCTGAAGAATGGTTGATACGTGTATCTTGTCCGGCTGTCTCTGACATTCGGGTGGTCTTCGGGTGGGCATGTCTTCAAAGCCTTTCTAAACCCCTACAAACCCCCAAAACTAACCTCCCAAAACCCTAAAACCGTCATAGTATTTGCTCCAAAAACATCGAAGCATTCCTGCCTTAGGGATAACTATTCTTTTCTTTTTTTTTTTTTGGGGGGGGGGGGGGGGGGGGGCTCTTAAACCCTAAACCCTAAAGCCGAAACCCTAAGCAGCCAAACCTTTCAACCCCGAGCTGGCGCTTGTTGGGCCTGGCAGTCCTCCAGCAAGAAAGGGGCCAAGCCCTAACCCTAAACCCTAAACCCTACACCCGAAACCCTAAACCGTAATCCCTAAACCCTAAACCCTAAACCCTACACCCTAAACCCTAAACCCTAAGCAGCCACGGGCCTGGCAGTCCTCCAGCAAGAAGGGCCCCGAGCTGGCGGGGCTGCAGCCTCCCTGGGAGGGGCCGCTGCTGCCTCACCACCGCAGCGTCGGGCGCTTGGGGTTTGGGGTTTGGGGTTGAGGGTTTAGGGTTTAGGGTTTAAGGTTTAAGGTTTAGGGTTTAGGGTTTAGGGTTTAGGGTTTAGGGTTTAGGGTTTAGGGTTAGGGTTTAGGGTTTAGGGTTCAAGGTTGAGGGGTGCGAAGTTTTGGACTTCGGGGTTGAGGGATTTGGTCCAAATGGGCTTAGAGGGTCCCCAGAAACAAACCCGCAGTTGCCTACAAGCACCTAAACCCTCAACCCCCCCCCCCTTCCAAGCAACCAAGGCCCTAAACCCCCAAAAAACAAGCCCCTAAAACCCGCAAATCCTGTGCTGGCGTGTTACGGGAAAGATGTCCCGAAAACCCTTTTCCAAAAAAACAAACGCTTTTCAAAAACAACCATTTTTTGCGAAAAGTCGGCATTTGCCAAAGAACACCTTTTTCGAAAAGCCACATTTTGCAAAAAGTGAATTTTTCTCGCAGCGCTGCGAGTAGCCACTTTTCAAGGAAGGCCACTTTTCTCGCGGTGCTGTGTGCGCAGTGTCCTGAAAAAGCCCCTTTTCGGCAGAAGCCACTTTTTTCGAAAAGCCGCTTCTTGAGAAAACTAACTTTTCTCGCGGCGCTGGTCGCGCAGGGCTCGCTGGGGTCCAGGGTTTATAGAGTTTATTGGTTTATAGGAATTATCGGGTTTATAAGGTTTATAAGGTTTATAGGGTTTATGGGGTTTATAGGTTAGGGTCAAGGCTTATGCATGCACAGCATATCCTCGACCAGGGTGTGGAGATACGGAATTTTCTGGACAGGTTCGGTGTGCTCCAGGTTCGCCGGGTACCGTTGCCGTAACAGTTACAATAATGACACGCTAGCAGCCACTCGCAGGTAGCCGCAACCTTTGTGTGGTCCACCTGGTGGCTCTTCCTATGAATCCAGGCGTTTGTCAATTGCAAACATGACGATGGACTTTTTCAGCTTGGTGATTGAGAGCTTGCTGACTGAGACACGGGGCGCGAATGATGTTGAGCTGATGCGTTGATTTTTCATTCTGGTGGTGGAAAAACCCTACCCGGCCTTATCCTGTTGAACGACCTCTGTCGTTTAGGGCTGTTCAAACTAAGTCACCAGGCGCAATTATGATTTTAGAGGTTCGGTTTGTGTGTATTCGAAGGACATCGCAGTCGTGTATGTTTTTTGCAGAAGCTGGCCTTCTGTTGCCTTTAATCTGTCGAGTTTCTTGATGATGACTGTTGTTGGGTACTGTTGGGTCTGTTGGGTGTGGGATTGGAGCAGCTTACTACCCGGCTGCCCAACATGTTGCAAGTGCTCATAAAATGTCATAGAACCATAGAACGCCTTTTCAACCAACCTCCCTTTTTCGTGAAAGTCCTCAGCTACACTATGTAAGACTATGCTGGGTTTCCCTGTGCAGGTGGCAGAGCGAATGCAAGGCGCTGGCAAAACTTTCCCTTTCATGTCAGAGACTCCTGAGATGAAGGATCTGATATTCAACGCGGGTGAGCCGGAGGGCGAGATTCGCAGCGTCCTCCTCATGGAGCAGGCCCTGTGCACGTGCCTGACAACCGAGAAGCTGAGGGGCAACGGCTTCCGGCGACGAGGTCATCAAGCAGAAGTTGGCCGAAGCAGGCAAGAAAGGAATTGTTTGTTGCCCTGCGATGTTGCAGGAAGCCCAATGCAAACAAGTGACTGATGAGTGCGGGCCCGCGAAACGGGCTACGTATTGGGTCTCACAGTGCCTCACGATCGTCTGTTAACAATTTTCCACTCCGTCCGTGAACACACGGTTACATCGTTTGCTCTGCTCCAGCGTGTCACAGCATAGACTGACTGGATAGCCTGGCTCTGGGCCAGCTCCAGTTTCAGGAATGCTGATCAGCTGATCTTTTGCGTCAAGTTGAAAAGGCTCTGCTTCTGATATAAACATTTTTGTACGCTGAGTAGATAGACAAACAGATAGATTGAGCTTTCTGTTGATAAATTCTATTGGGCCCTTTGACTCTACTTCTTCTATTTTGTGCCATACGAATAAGGCATCGTTTGTGCCCAGCGGGCGGCAATTTCCTACGGTACCTCCTAAATTGCGCGGGCGCGGGCACTACAGATACAATTTTCAATGATTCTGCCACGCCTGGGGGCCTGGCCTGATGCGCAAGGCCAGTTCAAGAGCCACTTTTCTCGACAAGCCACTGTTTTGAGTGACGTTTCTGGCGGCGTTGGGCGCGCAGCGTTTCGAAAGAAACCTAGAAAAGCCACTTTTCTCGTGGCAATTGGCGCGCAGCGTCTTCGAAAAGCCACTTTCCTCGAAAGGCAATTTTCTCGAAAGGCCACTTTTGCAACAGAAAAGTAACTTTTCTCGCAGCGTTGGGCTCGCCGTGTTTTCAAAGCACTTTTCTTGAAAAGCCAGTTTACCAAACAAGCCACTTTTCAAAAACAGCCCTGAGCGAAAATCAACACACTTTTCTCGAAAAGTCACCTCTTTTGCGAAAAGTCGTTTTCTTGCGGCGCTGTCAGCGTTCTGGTTTAGAGACTTTTCGAGCAAAGCAACTTTTCTCGAGAAAAAACAAACAACGAAAAGAAAAGTCACTTTGCTCGCGGCGTTGGGCGCACGGCTTCATCGAAAAGTGCCGTGTTTTCAAAAAGCCACTAATTCTCGAAGAGCCACTTTTTGCAAATAACTTTCCCGCTGATTCTTCCGGCTAACCTGGAAGACGCGCCGTGTGACAGCCTGGCAAAACTAAGGCCCTAAACCCCCGAACCCCCCCCCCCCCCCCCCCCAAGCCCGCTAACCCTAAACCCGAAACCCTAAACCCAAAACCCCCCCCCCAACCCCTTCTGTTCCCAGGTCCCCTCTCGGTTTCCGCCATGCTGCAGAAGTAGCCGCCAGAGGGCCCTGTGTGCCACTCAGAAGGGCCTTGGGGCATCCAACGAAGAAAGCCGAAAAGCTTTTTGCAAACAGGGTTTCGGGTTTCGGTTTTAGGGTTAGGGGTTTAAGGTTTAGGATGTGGGGTTGTTTGGACCTTGAGGGGTTTAAGGATTGAGGGATTATGTAGGGTCTGGGACATGTGATATCCCTGACATTCTCTTCTGATGTCTTGAGCATTAGGGGATAGGATTAAGGGGACTGTTGGGGCCTCTGAATAAGGTCCCTGCAGAAGAGGGGTTCAGAAGGATTCCTTTTAAGGGACCCCCTTATCCAACCTAGGAGGCATGGGGGGGGGCCTAAATGGGTGTTTCCGAGATTACGGGCACCTTATTATGCTCCATTTTCGAAGGGAATCTTACTATGTGGGGGTTTCTGTTTAGGGGTCCTGATTGTCGTAAACCCCCCAATTTGCTAAACTGCTGAGCCCGAAACCTCCCGAACACCATCTCTCCAAGCCTAGCCCAGCCCTCCCTGAACCCTGAACCCTGAACCTGAACCCTGAACCCTAACCCTAAACCCGAAACCCTAAACCCTAACCCTTAACCCTAAACCCTAAACCCTACCAGGGGAGCCGACAGCTTGTGCCCACATCATCGTCGCACTCCGCTGCGCCCGAGGAGGCCTGGCTGCCGGCGCAGTTGAGTTAGGGTTGAGGGCCCTCGGGGCGAACTCCTAAACCCTAAACCCTAAACCCTAAACCCTAAACCCTAACCCTAAAACCCTAAACCGAAACCCTAAGCGAGATGTCCACATTCTGCGGCCGGACGGATCAACTTCGTTTCTCTGGTTGAGGGTTGGAGATGACAAGGGGCCTTGCCGTTCCTCCTCGGGGCGTTCTCTGGGTATAGGGTTTAGGGTTTAGGGTTTAGGGTTTAGGGTTTAGGGTTTAGGGTTTAGGGTTTAGGGTTTAGGGTTTAGGGTTTAGGGTTTAGGGTTTAGGGTTTAGGGTTTAGGGTAGGGTTAGGGTTACTTAGTGCTGCATTGAACTGTTATGTCAGCAGCTGCCGATGTTTTTCGGCGGGGCTGCCCTGTAAGAAAGCATCGAAAATCTAACCGTCCGGCACAAGGCAACTGGGCTTGGCTCATGAAGGCCTCCTTGCACACGATGGACGCGACTGGGCTGTTTTCCTTGGAGGCCATGGGCAGGCAGACAGAATTCCTGGTCCAACCTCAAAATTTGCCCACGCCCAACCCCCAAATCCTAAAATCAAAACCCCCCCCCCCCCCCACCACCCTAACAACCCTAAAACCCCAAGCCGAAACCCTAAACCCTAAACCCTGAACCTCAAAACCCTGAGCACCCACATCACCCCCAAAAAACCCAAACCCTAAGCCCTAAACCCTAAACCCTAAACCCTAAACCCTAAACCCTAAACCCCAAACCCCAAACCCTAAACCCCAAGCCCTCAACAATCCCCCTCGAGACCAAGCTTCGCAGCACCACTGGCGCTTCATGGGGCTCCAGAGGTTCACGTACTCCAGGTCCTCGTAGCAGTCGAAGGGGACCTCAGCTGCTTGAAAGGGTCTGCGGATTTAGGGTTGAGGGCTTTGAGGGTTGTTTAGGGTTTTGGGGTTCACAGGTTGGGGTTTGGGGTTTGGGGTTCAGGGTTCAGGGTTTGGGGTTTGGGGTTTGGGGAGTTTCGGGTTGAGAGGGCTGGAGATACCGCAGACGCTGCACATATCGCGGGGGCATATGCCACGTCGGCAACAAACGACAAAGGAACACAAAATCTGAGACTGGAGCCGCGGCAGGCTTTGGGTTTCAGGGGTTGAGGGTTTAAGCTTTAGTTGTGTAGCGCAACTCGGCGAAGAGACATCGGCACTCAGGATTTGGGCATAGTTCAAGAGCTGCCTTTGAATGCTAGACTTGGAACTCGTCTCTGATTGAACTCCTCTCATTCGGGGTAGTTACTTGTCAGAGCCATCCGGGCAACCACGCACACCCCAGCCATCACTGCCGATGTAGCTTTCTCCTAATTCGCCACCTTCCCTACCTCGACTCGACTAACAAACACACACACACACACACACACACACACACACACACACACACACACACACACACACACACACACACACACACACTTACACTTTTGTCCTTTGAAGCCGAAAGCGGCAAACACGCCCCGAACTTAGACCCCATGACCCAAACGCCCGAATCCACAAGGACGGCCTTAGCAGCCAAGTGTCAGCCAGATCTCCGCCTCCTGGAAGCTTAGCGTCTAAGGCTTCATGCCTAGGACCCTGAACTCCAGACCCTAAACCCCAAAACCCCCAAACCCCAAACCCTATGAACCCTAAGACCTAAACCCAAAACCCTAAACCCTAAACCCTATGAACCCTATGAACCCTATGAACCCTAAGACCTAAACCCTTCACCGTTCAGGTGGTTCAGGCGCTTTCCAGCTTGGTTGGGGGGTTCTGGGCTTAGTGCTGAAGATCAAAATCCCAAAGCTCCTGAACCCCACAGGCACTCTGCGAAGAACGAAAAGGAACAGCACTTGCGACCCAAACCTTCAGGTTTTCAGGGGTTGAAGGGTGGAAGGGTTGAAGGGTTGAAGGGCTGAGGAGCCCTAAAGCCCCAAACCCTAAGCACAAAGCCCCTAAAAACCCGATGGCGCCTGGCACTTCGACCTCGCCGATGTAGCACTGGTCCTGCGGGAAGAAGGGATTTAGGATAAATTAGACGGCCGGGCTTCGGGTTTAGGGCTGCGGGCTTAGGGTGGAAGACCTGCATCCCAAGCCTGTCTCGGGTCTTTCACAGCGCCTTGCTCGCGGCTTCAACGCCTCAACCCTCAGGCCAAGGATTTGAGCCCTTCACCTCGAAGACCCTCATGGCCTTGCACTCGATGAAGGGGATTGGCTTGACTTGAATGCAAGGTTTAAGACTTCAGGGTTAGGGTTTAGGGTGAGGACGCGGGGTTTTGGGCTGGGGACGACGGGCTTGTTGATTCAAGCGGTGCAGTCTCAACATGATGTCCTAAGCACACACTGTGCTCCAAAGAACCCGCAACCCCAAGCCTTAATCCCCCCCTAACCCCGCCAAAAACCGCCCCCCCTCCCCGCTTAAACCCCCCCCAAACCCCCCCTAAACCCTCCTAAACCCCGAAACCAGCCCGTAAGCGGTGACTCCCACCAAACCCTGATAAACCCTAAACCCTAAACCCCTCGAAACCTCAAGCTCTGCCCATTTGCCTGGCAGTCTTCCAAGGGAAAGGGCCCGTCCAAGACCGGCCGGCACCCCTTCGTCTGATAGCCTCTGCTGTTAAGAGGGCGGAGGGTTAAGGGTTTAGGGTTTAGGGTTTAGGGTTTAGGGTTTAGGGTTTAGGGTTTAGGGTTTAGGGTTTAGGGCTCCTCGGCTGTGTAGAACTTCGGGCCTTGGGGGCGTACGGCGGCTTCAGGACTTCAGGACCCGATGGTTTTGGAGCTTCGGGTGGGCCCCTTAAAAACCCTAAAAACCTTAAAGCCCTACAGGGTTTAGGGTTTAGGGTTTAGGGTTTAGGGTTTAGGGTTTAGGGTTTAGGGTTTAGGGTTTAGGGTTTAGGGTTTAGGGTTTAGGGTTGGGATGTTCCCCCCTATACTAACAGTCCTTACGAGGGATGATGATAACAGGGCGGTACTATCATCCCTACTAAGGACTGTTAGTATGAGGGATGGACATCCCAGCCCTAAACCCTAAACCCTAAACCCTAAACCCTAAACCACCGAAGCCTTCAAAACGACAACCGCCACAGCCCAGGTGCAGTAGTATCCTCCTGGGCCGGTTTGCCACTCCACGGGGCCTTGGCTTAGGGTCTAGGATTTCGGGCTTAGGGTTTAGGATTTATGTTCTGGGTCTTGGGTTTTGGGTTTTGGGTGTTTTGGGTTTTGGGTTTTTGGTTTTGGGTTTTTGGTTTTGGGTTTTGGGTTTTGGGTTGCGGGCTTACCGCAGGGCTGCCAGCATAGCCCTTTCACACTCCCGGCCAGGGTTAGGGTTTCGGGTTTTTGGGTGCAGGGTTTAGGGTTTAAGGTTTAGACTGTAGGGTTGCGGGCTTCAGGATTCAGGGTTAGAGGTTTTGGTACTCGTTTAACCCGAGTCCAGCCCAAAACTCGCAGAAACCCTCAACCCCAAACCCCAACACCCAAAATTCCTGGAAACCCAAAACCCTAAACCCCAAACCCTAAACCCTAAACCCTGAACCCTAAACCCCAAACCCTGAACCCTAAACCCTAAACCCTAAACCCCATGAGTCGGGCTCCCCGACACCCGGTGCTCAACCCGTCTTCGCAGCGCTCGACGGTCCCCCCTTCAGGGGCATCCTCGGCCTGGTCTAGGGTTTGGGGTTTGGGGTTTGGGGTTTGGGTTTTGGGGTTTGGGGTTTGGGGTTTGGGGTTTGGGGTTTAGGGTTTAGGGTTTCCAGGAGTTTTGGGTTTTGGGGTTTGGGGTTTGGGGCTTGGGTTTGGGGAAGAAACGGTGTGATAACTTTGCCAAGAGTTTTAAGCTTGCTCCAACTCGTTGAGAATCTGACGGGTATACCACCAGGCACATTAACAATGAGGCCCTAAACAGTCACTCAGCAAACCCGGAACCAGATCTTTGAACTTTCGCAGCCTTAGCATAAACAGTGAGGTTTCGGGTTTGGGGCGTTTGTGTACCAGATCCCTTTTTTGCTCCCCTCAACCCTGCAGAACCGGGCCAAAACCATGCCACATCTCAAGTTGGGGGCTCGGGCTGAGGCGTTCAGGAGGCTGTCAAAGCTTAGACCGAGGCTGTTCTTGGTGTCGGGGCTTGGGTTCAGGGTTTGCATGTTCCGGTTATCTTGAGACCCGGACCGTCGGAGCATTCGAATGTCCGTTGACGTAATCCTCGTGGGCTTCGGCGAGAGAATCACTTTCGATCACAACAGCAAAGATCCAATCACGCAACCTGCTATTCCAGCCCCCATCAACTCCATCAAGAATCACGAGAGGGAGGATTTGAAACACCGGATCGGTCACAAAATGGCCATTCAAATCTTGCTTTACCTGCATGCGGATGCGCCAGAACCCCATAGCACGGTCCCAATCCCAGACGCCTAAACCCCAGACCCTGAAGAGCCTCCGCACGTAGACTTTCAGGCGGAGGATTTAGGTTTTGCTCGATTGGGATGCGGATGGATGCTGGGGTGCTCCAGTGATATGTTGTGGAATGCCGCCGAGATGCCTTGCCGTTCGCATCCAGGCCCACCTGGTCCAAAAATCCCAGACAGCCCCCCGCAGCTCAACCCGGAAGCCTAAACCGTTTTGCGCATGGCCCCGAAACTCCAAATACCAAGGAGGCTCGGGCGCCAGTGTGGGCATTCTACCCAACCGTTTGAAGCCCACTGATACCAAACATCATGAAGCTTCACGTTTTGGGACTCAAGGCGTGGGGGTTATTCGAAGTTATGTGTATGCCAGATCTCCCCCCAGGGCGAGATCTAGACTATGCAGTCCTATGACTCCCAATATGAAAACCCCAGCCCTGAACCCTAAACTCCTAGAATCGAAGACCGTGGTGCCAAACCAAACCCTAAACCCTAAACCCTAAACCCTAAACCCTAAACTCTAAACCCTAAACCCTAAACCCTAAACCCATCTCAACCGGGGGTTTCGGGTTGAGGCGTTCAGGGGGGGGGCAGTTTAGGTTTTGCATGTTCAGGCTATCTTGGGACCCGGACCATCGGAGCTTTCGAATGCCCGTTGACGTAGTCCTCGTGGGCTTCGGGCGCCAGGACCCCGAAACCCCCGAAACTCTGCAACTTCTCACCGTGCCAATCGCAGATGCCTAAACCCAAGACCCTAAAGAGCCTCCGACGCGTGCCGAGGGTTTAGGGTTCGGGATTTGGGGTCTTGCATCGATTGGCACCCGAGATGGTCTCCATTGTCTTACTGCTTTGTGGGCTTCAGGGCGATGTAGAGTTTCCAAGTGGAATGCGGATGGATGCAGCCTGGGGTGCTCCAGTGATATGTTGTGGAATGCCGCCGAGATGCCTTGCCGTTCGCATCCAGGCCCACCTGGTCCCAAAAATCCCAGACACCCCCCTAAACCGTTCGGGGTATGGAGTTGGGGACTTAGACCCCGGGGCATTCCAACCCTTTGAAGCCTCCCACTATCCAGGTCCCTTCGCCGCAGCGGAAGCCCACTCATGCATGATGTAGCTTCAACCCGCAAAGCAAGATCTTTGGGTTCTCGCCCTCTCAGTCTTGCCAGAAACACACTGAGACTCCGGGGGTCTGAGCCTCACGGGTGACTTGAAGTTCTATGTATGCCAGATCCCACCAGGCCAGATCTAGATTCTGATCTCCTATATCCAACACCGACTTTTACACCCTCAACCATGCATGCAGTCCTATGACTCCACAATCTAGACCATCAACCCTGAACCCTAAACTACAATCAACCATGCCACATTGGGATGACAGCTCCTTAATCGGGACTATAGTAGGGCTACCATTTGCTTAAGAACCACCCCCAAAAGAATAGAAATGATCCCTATATTTAATCAGGAAGAATATTTTTCCGGGGTTCTTAAGCAATTGGTAGTTATCCCTATTAAGGAGCTGTTAGTATAGGGGGCTGTTCAGGACCTAGGGGGCTTGGGGGGTTTAGGGGTTTCGGGTTTAGGGTGTAGGGTGTAGGGTTTAGGGGTTGAGGGGTTCAGGGGTTTGGGGGTGTAGAGGCTTCGGTTCAGGGTTGTGGGATGTTCCCCTTCTACTGACAGTCCTTAATTGGGAATATAGTACCCTCTATTGTAATCCCTACTAAGGACTGCTGGTATAATCATTGTACTAACAGTCCTTAACAGGGGTATCCTGGGACCCGGACCATCAGAGCATCTGAATGTCCGCTGACATGGTCCTCGTAGGCTTCGGGCGTCAGCACGCCCGAAGCCCCCGAAACCCCACAACCCCTTAATAATCACTATCAATAGAGCAAGGACCCAATCACGAAACGACGCTCCACGCTCATAACCCCTTACTCTTTAGACATTCTACCGAGCCCCAGCGAGCCCTTGGACCCAGCAGGACACTGTCCTCAAGAGGCTGTTTAGGATTCGGGGCCATAAATTAGGATTAGGGTTCAGGATTTCGGCTTTTCCAGACTGAGCAAACTTTCCAAACCTGAAATTGCAGCCGAGAGTGAACCCAACAAAAATTTCTTGATTCCAAAACCCCAAGCCCTCAACCCTAAACGTTAAACCCTAAACCCTGAACCCTCAACCTAAACCCTAAACCCTAAACCCTAAACCCTTTTGGCACACTCGTTTCAGAAGGTCCTCCTGACTCTTTGCAGGGGCCGCAGCCGGTGCCTCCGAAGGGTGTTCTTACACGGTGTTCTTCAAGGGTTTAGGGTTTAGGGTTTAGGGTTTAGGGTTTAGGGTTTGGGGTTTAGGGTTTAGGGTTTAGGGTTTAGGGTTTGGGGTTTGGGGTTTGGGGTTTGGGGTTTGGGGTTTGGGGTTTGGGGTTTGGGGTTTGGGATTTGGGGTTGTGGGCTTGGGATCGTGGACCAACCCACACGACCGCGCAAGGAGTATACAACTGGGACCCACGAAGCACGCATAATTCAGATCAATGCGCAGATAGAAAAGTTCTTGGGACTGCAATTCTGCGCTACCCCTCGTGGCTCTTAGCACGGCTAGGGGAATGCACGATGCCCTGCCGTAGTCGGTGCAGCCGTGCTCGAAGTCGCTGCCTGCACAAGTCAGCAGAAAACATTCGACCCTAGACAATCGGGACCCGAAAAAACCAGAATTCAGATCACTTCTCAAAAAAATATTTCTTGAGACTGCAATTCTGCGCTACCCTTCGTGGCTCCTAGCACGGCTAGGGGAATGCACAATGCCCTGCCGGAGTTGGTGCGGCTGTGCTCGAAGCCGCTGCCTGCACCATGCAACAAAAAACATTCGACAACCCAAGAAGAACCCAGAAGTCCGATCACTTCTGAGACAAAAAAGTTCTTGGGACTGCAATGCTGCGGTACCCTTCGTGGCTCTTGGCACGGCTAGGGGAATGCACGATGCCCTGCCGTAGTCGGTGCAGCCGTGCTCGAAGTCGCTGCCTGCACAATGCAAAAAAAACATGCGACAACCCAAGAAGCACCCAGAATATAGATCACTTCTCAGACAGCAAAGTTCTTGGGACTGCAATTCTGCGCTATGGCTCTTTGCACGGCTAGGGGAATGCACAATGCCCTGCCGGAGTCGGTGCGGCCGTGCTTGAAGGCGCTACCTGCACAAGCAAACAATGCACTTGACGCATGGCCCTTTGGATTTGCAAGGGATCTCCAATTTCTTTATCAGAATAGCCTTGTCTTAGGTTTCTTATGCGGCTTTACTTTTTCCCGTTCTGACTTATCAACATATTCTCACTTAATACGCTTGTCGCCATCTTCTAAGATGTTTTCCAAGATTTGTGTCATTTTGCTTTCTATCGCTTTTTGTCTTTATGCCTCTACGCATCTAGTGTCTGTTTCTTCTTGTGGCAATACAGCCTTGAATATCTGGCGAAGAACAAATGTGGAGAGGCACCCCCCCTCCCCCCATCTTCGCCTAACGAAGACCCCGGGTCCTTCCACAGCCCCCCTTAATTCAAGCAGGTTCAGGGCATGCTGTACATGACATACCACGAGGACGGGGTTGCTCAGAACATCTGCTTGTTAGACCCACAGCCTCGAACATGCTGCGTGAGGCTTTCTACAACCGCCAAGCGGGGTGAAGGGAAAACATCCATGCAAATCGCGTAGGCGCTGCCACCAAGCATGCAGAGTAGCTTGCGTTTTCTCTGTTGGTATTGCTTTGTTGGTATTGCTTGAAGCCCAGGAAGTCTATTCTTCGTTGCGAGGAGTAGTCGGGCTGTTTCTAAACGTCTGTCTGAGAGAATTCCAAGGCCTGTGCCGAAACTAAACCTATCCAATGCGGGGGAGGAGGACCTCTCTTGCCCACAGGGCCTTTAGGCTTGGGGGTTGGGTTTACAGTTTCAGCTTAGGCCTGATCTGAAGACTTTTGCAGACTTTGGATTGCAGCTGAGAACGTCCCAATATTGCTTGAGTCCAATACCCCAATACCCCAATACCCCAATACCCCAAAACCCCAAAACCCCAAAACCCCAAAACCCCAAAACCCCAAAACCCCAAAACCCCAAAACCCCCAAACCCTCAACCTTTCAGAAGGTGCCTCCAATGTGATTGGAGGGGCCACAGCTGGTGCCTTCAAGGGGCGTTCTTGAGGCTGATGTAGATTGCGGGACCGTCATAGTACCCTTTACTACTGCATGAGGACTAGGCGATTGGGACTCAAGAAGTACACAGAATTTTGATCCAACTCCCAGATAGAAAGGAACTGCAAATCTGCACTACCCCTCGTGGCTCTTAGCGCAGATAGGGGAATGTGCAATGCCCTGCCAGAGTCGGCACCGCCGTGCTCGAAGAAGTCGCTGCCTGCACAAGGAAAAAAATCAACGTGCATTTCTGCGCATGGCCCAGTTCAGGTAGTATCAAGAAAGCCGCCTGCGTCGCAGGTCGGGCTACAGTCCCATGAGACTTTGACCAGGTACGGCTGAGGTTTGAGCTAGTATCCAGAAGGACCCCTGGCGAGAATGGAATCGCAAAGGTGAGGAGAGGATTGGAGGCAGACCCCTGCACTGGCTGTTGAAAAGTACGTGGCGATCCTGACGAGCCACATGTCATGTACACTGCATAGTTGGGCTCGCACTTGCCACCAAAACCCTGAACAGACCCGACCTCCTCAACCTCAGCTTGCACCCCCCCGCCACAAAGCCCCTAAAAACCCGAAAGCAGCGGTTTACATGTCGGGGGGGGGGGGGGGCAAAGCATGAACCTGGAAACCTCTTTAGAAAGGTGCCTGGAGGGTCCTGAACCCTAAACCCTAAACCCTAAACCCTAAACCCTAAACCCTAACCCTAAACCCTAAACCTGAATTCCCCCCCCCTAAATCCTTCGTACAAACCTCGGCCTTGTCCCCTAGCTGCGTGTCCTGCCGGTGTGTTTTGAACTTTGGGGGATCTTTGGGAAACCCTAAACCCTAAACCCTAAACCCTAAACCCTAAACCCTAAACCCTAAAGGGGATCTTTGGGGCCCCCAGGCTTTGGGGGTCGAGGATGCAGAGGGGCAAAGGCGTACATTGAGCGACCATCATCAGGAAGCCACACATGGTCGGGTTTAGGGTTTAGGGTTTAGGGTTTAGGGTTTAGGGTTTAGGGTTTAGGGTTTAGGGTTTAGGGTTTAGGGTTTAGGGGTTAGGGGTTAGGGTTTAGGGCTTAGGGTTTCCCACGTCCGTTTTAAGTATCTTAGTTAGGCTCCTTACTTGGGATGTTCCCGCTTAGACTAACAGTCCTTGATAGGAACTATAATCGGGGGCACTAGAACCCTTGTTCAGGACTGATCGTAGAAGGGGAACATCTCAACTCCTTAACATTTGGTCTTGCCAGTCTCCTCTGTGATTGAGACCTAAAGAGGTTCAGGGCTCGGGAACCCTAAAGGCTGCCGGATCAAAATGAAAATGACAAGGGTGAGAAAAAAAGCGGGGGTTTAAGGTTTAGGGTTTAGGGTAAGGTTTCGAGTTTTAGGGTTTGAGGGCTTTAGGGTTTAGGGTTTAGGGTTTAGGGTTGAGGGGTTCGGGATTAGGGTTTAGGGTGTAGGGTGTAGGGCTTATTTTCTTATTGATCCCTTTCTATTCTTTCGTTGATGGTTTTTTGTGTTTTTGTTTGACCCCGATCTCCATGGGGTGCGAAGGCGCCCACCCCGGCAGAAATCCTTTGGACTCAGTTGAACGAAAAGTTTCTGAAACCCCTGAAACCCCCTGAATCCCCTAAAGCCCTTAAAGCCTCGACTCCCAAAACCCTGAAAGGTCAAAAATCCGAACCACTTTGCAGATGCCCTCATAAAACCCCTGAAACTCCAAAAAAACCATGCGACGAATTTCCAGTTGCCCTGATGGATCGAATTCCCAGCACTTAGGGGGCTGGGTTAAGGTTGGTTTTGGGCTTCCGATTTCAAGAATCTAGGATGAAGGGCGGTGCTTGCTGTCTAGGGGTGTAAGGGCTAGCCCTCCAAGATCCAGAAGAGAAAACCAAAAACGGCGTCCCCAAGACCAGTCCTCAGGACAGACCTGTCAGGAAGCGACTGGCACGTTGCAGGGCTTTCTTCAACCCCTGAGGCCGAAAGCCCTAAACCCTGCACCCCGCAACCCTAAACCCTAAACCCCTAAACCCCTAAACCCCTACACCCCTAAACCCCTAAAGCCCTAAACCCCTAAACCCCTAAACCCCTACACCCCTAAACCCCTAAACCCCTAAAGCCCTAAACCCCTAAACCCCTAAACCCCTAAACCCTGAAACCCTAGACCGCAGCTCCCACGCCGAAACCGTGAATCCGCAACCTGAAGGCGAGTCTGCAAAACCCAAGACCCGCAGGCGCCCCTCCCAAGAGCTGATTCAACCCTCCAAGGCTCAAGCTTAAGGGTTGAAGGGTTTAGGGGTTTAGAGGTTTAGGGGTTTACGGGTTTAGAGGTTTAGGGGTTCAGGGGTTTAGGGGGGTTCAGGGGTTTAGGGGTTTAGGGTCTAGGGGTGTAGGGGTTTAGGGGCTTAGGGGTTTAGGGGTTTAGGGGTTTAGGGGTTGAGGGTTTAGGGCTTGGGGTTTGGGGTTTGAGGTTTGGCTTCAGTTTTAAGGGCTGATAGGGTTCATCGGGCTCAGTTGCAGGGTTCTTGCCTTTTTGGGAGTCTTGGGGCGTTAGGACCCTAAACCCTAAACCCTAAACCCTAAACCCTAAACCCTAAACCCTAAACCCCAAACCCTAAACCCTAAACCCTGAACCCTACAGGGCCTCGGGGCGTAGGGTTGGCGCGAACCCAAGGCAAATCGAAGCAGCAAGAAGGCCATCCTAAACCTAGCCCACAAAACGATGTGCCCTGCAACAAGCCCCGTAAACCCTAAACCCGAAACCCTCAACCCCAAACCCTAAACCCTAAACCCTAAACCCTAAACCCCAAACCCTAAACCCTAAACCCCAAACCCCAAACCCCAAACCCTAAACCCTAAACCCTAAACCCCCCAGGACCTTGGGACCGCTGACGGCATCAATGGCCATGAGCTTCGCGGAGGAGCTGCCGTAGAGCCAGCAGGCCCCCTTCGGCCTTATAGCTTTAGGGGCTTTGGGGTTCAGGGGTTTAGGGTTTAGGGTTTAGGGTTTAGGGTTTAGGGTTCAGGGTTTAGGGTTTAGGGTTTAGGGTTCAGGGTTTAGGGGTTAGGGTTCAGGGGTTAAGGCCCCCTTCGGCCTGGGGACTCGAAAGAGGGGCTCATGAGGTTGTTTTTCTTGGCAGGGGCTGGGGCTTAGGGTTTAGGGTTTAGGGTTTAGGGTTTAGGGTTTAGGGTTTAGGGTTTAGGGTTTAGGGTTTAGGGTTTAGGGTTTAGGGTTTAGGGTTTAGGGTTCGGGTCTTGGGTATTGGGTTTGCAGTTCAAGACTTACCTTTTACGTCATGGTTCTTTGCTGGCGTGGGACACCCACAAGAACTCAGGGTTCTGGGGATTCCCTTTGCTGGGTCACTCACGTACTTGGTTCGGGCACGACAAGACTGCCAGATTCCCAAAGCTTCAAACCCTAAACTCTAAACCCTAAACCCTAAACCCTAAACCCTAAACCCTAAGCCCTAAACCCTAAACCCTAAACCCAGCAGGTCTGGGCTCCAGGCAGGGATGCGCCCTCAAAGGTGAAGTGCTGGCAGTTCCTCAGAACTTCCTAAACCCTAAACCCGAAACCCTAAACCCTAAACCCTGTTCGCCGGTTTAAGGAGGATGGGACCTCAGGCTGGCTGAAGCAGGTGCCACAAGCGTCAGCTGCGAGAAAAACAGCTGTGACGAGCATGCGAAGCTCTGAACCCCACGGTCTCATCCCGAGGGTTTAGGGTTTAGGGTTTAGGGTTTAGGGTTGAGGGTTGAGGGTTGAGGGTTGAGGGTTGAGGGTTGAGGGTTGAGGGTTGAGGGTTGAGGGTTGAGGGTTGAGGGTTTAGGGAGTGAGTGATGTCCAAGAAACCTCAAGGTCTGAGGGTCTTGCGAGTCTTCCGCACATCTCTGCTGACAGTCTAGGGCGGTATCTTCGTGACTGCTGGGCATCGCAACCTCAGCTCTCAAAATCACTGAGCTTCTCTTGAAACCTCGCACCCCTACATGCTCAGACTCTGAATCCGATCCTAAGCTCGAATCCCTGAACCCGGGCTAGTGCGGGCTGGAGGTGCTGAACTACGTTACCAGTAGCTCTGACTGGGGTTTAGGGCTTGGGGCCTGTAGAGGTTTAAATACATCTTGCACACAACCACCGCGCATTGGTACCCATGAACTGTCAAGGCAGGGCCTGGGATTTAGGACTTGTCAGTTCTGGATTTCAGATTGCGAGTTCGGAATTCCGCGCTGCTATAAAGCAAGACAAGTGAATGAGGCACGACATTGCGGCTTTCGATTCTTAAGTTGGACGATTCAGCAATAATAAAAAGAAAGACTAGAACCAAAAACGAGAATATTAATCTGAATAAGAATGGCAATGGCGCAATTGTAAGAACGCCTACAAGGCGCAAATGCAATGACAACTAATCACAATAGTCAAAATAGCAGTAACAACAAATTAGTGATCGCAATAGCAATAGGAATCGGAACAGCAATAGAGCACCAGCAACAGCAACAGCAACAGCAATAGCAACAGCAATAGCAAGAGCAATAGCAACAGCAATAGCAACAGCAATAGCAACAGCAATAGCAATGGCAATAGTACTGGTACAACCCGAACTCTAAACCCCTAAAACCCTGTCATAAACCCCAAAGGTCATAAACGCAAAAAGTTGTTTTGCGATGTAGACCTCGGGGTCGTTGGAACAGGGGCTTCGGACATGGGGCACTATATTCGGTAGTGTCCCCAGAAGGACGAGAATCGGGCGGCTTGACCAAGTGCAAAGAGCTTGGGGTTTAGAGTTTGGGATTTGGGGTTTAGGGTTTAGGGTTTAGGGTTTAGGGTTTAGGGTTTAGGGTTTAGGGTTTAGGGTTTAGGGCTTAGGGTTTAGGGTTTAGGGTTTAAGGCTTATAGGGCTGAGGGCTTGGGGTTTACTTACTGTTGGTTAGTAGGGAATGAGGGAAGCAGGTACCATATGCCCTTTAAGTTTGACCCTGCCAAGCAATAGTAAGCCCTGAATCGACTGGGTGCACGGCCAGGGGGTCGTAGTACCTCTGGTCGCTGGTGGCACACGGCGGCATGCTGCTGGACCCTACCTGTGAAGAGGTGGTTTTCACTGGGGTTTGGGGGGTTTTGGGCTTAGGTTCAAGACGAATGCGCTTCTCTTTGAGAGCGACTCATGACGTCACTGAGGGACTACTTGAGGGCACGACAGACCTCAAGCCAACTGCACGGCTTTGAGCTTCTGCGTCCCGTGCTTTTTTTGGGGCTCAACACCTTAACCCCTGATGAAAAGAGTGACTTCGACCATCCCCAGCCCTGGACTAGCTGATGGCGTTGGAGGTGCCTAGTTGGGAAGGGTTCTTCGCTGGTTTCGTGGTCGGGGACATCGGAGGGGAGGGCAGGGATGGGGCGGGGCGGGATTTGCTCCCGAAAGCTTACTACAGAATTCTACGAAACACGGTTGTTTGTCCAGCGTGCAACCTTCCCAGAAGCAGAATGCAAGGCCTGGTGCAGGAGCAGCCATATGGGTGGCCATAACAGTCGTAATCCTCGGCGGAACAAGCATGCGAACATGTCTCCTACACCGATACATGTTCATGAAAAACGTATGACACACTACACATTCAACCAATGTTCGAGTGCAAAATTATGGGAAATCAAGAGTTCCCCCAACCTTCGGCGCAAGAACACATGCATCCCCTTCCTTCGCAAGCCTTACACCTTGGGATGTTCAGGGGTAATAATAGGGGGTACTGGAATCCCTATTACGGACTGTGAATATGAGGGGAAGCATCCCAACTTGCACTGAGGGTGTGCAAAAAGCGGCCGCAAACATCCTGTCATCGCCAAGCGCGCAGTGCATGACTCCGATAACACAGGCACCAACATTACCTTCTTTTGGAATGAGATGTCTTTTCGAGGACCAGGCCGTCAGAAGACTCAGACTCAGAACCAAAGTATTCCCCACTCCCTGGCATTTTTTGGGAAATGCCCATACCAGTTGCACACCTTTGCCAGTCCAAGTCTCTGAGCACCAGCATAGCTGCAGATGAGAGCTCTCTCACCTCCGCGTACGTCAATGCTCACGGGCAACAGAAGACCAAATGACACTCTGCACCCTGCACATCCTGGGTTCCCCCTACTACCCCCCCTCTAGATTACCCCTCTAGGTTCCCCTCATACTTAATGTTCTTTAGGGATGATGAAGCCTAATTAAATATAGAGGGGGGTAGTAGGGGAACCCACGAGCATAACTCCGAGGCCTGCGCACAGCGATGCTGGGCTAGATGGGGTTTTTTTCTAATTGGCAGCTGGAGCCGGAACAGCAGTTCAAATGGTACAACACCTATGCCTTTGCACACCCAAGACATTCATGTACCTGCCAAAATCATCGTTGCAGATCAAGCCTCAGCCATGCACAGCGTAGCTGATTTACATCCCTTGCAATCTGTGCGCTGGGCAAGATTCCTTTCTTCCATTGCTGCAGGAATGCATGCATCACTCTTTGTACAGATCATCCTTGCAGACAGAGCTGAGGCTGCTAGGCACAGGGCTCGTCAGCAAGTCAATGACGCCCGTCTCTGTCTCGCTGATGATGGCGCCTGGGTTCAGGTCATCGGAGTCCTCGCCGAACGAGTTCTTGAACGTTTCAAGGAGGTCAACCATGCAGAGGTAGAACCAGCAGGACATCAAGCAGCTGCAGCTGAGCACAAAGACATGCAGCTTCGAGGCATCCTCCCTGTCACTTAGACGCCCACCGAGCTCAGCCAACGGCATGGTGATGATCCAGAGGTACACCGTAATGTGCATCACCGCCTCGAAGCGTTTACCCTAAACCCTAAACCCGAAGCCCGAAGCCTTAAACCCTAAACCCTAAACCCTAAACCCGAACACCGCCTCGAAGGACATGGGGGCACGGATGGACATCGTGTCGTGTAAGGTGGCCGTGGCACCTCGCAACTGGCCGATCCTTAGTACTGGGTTTAGTGTTTAGGGTTTAGGGTTTAGGGTTTAGGGTTTAGGGCTTGCTGTGATAGGGCGTAGATGCTGTGAAGATTAGGTTTCGGAACAAGCTCGAAAGCTTCGTGAGGTGCCGAAGAGCAGCTTTGGCCCGATTGTGGAGGGCCATCAAACACTTTTCTCCCACCCCACGCCGTCCAAGGCGGCATAGCCACCCAAACCTATTCCTTTTAGCGTTTAGGCCTAAACTCAGACAACAATCCAAAACTTACTCGGTTTCATGATGCTGGTTGAATCCGAGAGTCAATCGAAGGCAATCCAGAGGCCCGGGGCCGAGTCAGGGGATCAGGGAGTCAGGCAAGCCGGGGGGGGGGGGGGGGGGGGGGGGGGGGGGGGGGGGGGGGGGGGGGGGGGGGGGGCCTCCTGGCCTAGGGGCCGGGGGTACCCCCCCAATTCACATAAGGGACCAGTGCTGGTTGCCCATCGTGGGCGCTACCGACCCCCATGCTGTGGGAGGCGGGCGAGCGACCTGGGTCGGCTTTCGCCATCAATGGGCTTAAGCGCCGCCCCCCATCGTAGGGGGGCGGCCTAGGCCCTCAGTTTAGGGTTTCGCGTTTATGGTTTGGGGTTTGGGGTTTAGGGTTTAGGGTGAACTTCAGGAACCCAACGGCAAAAATTATAATTTTTATATGCTGCTTCTCTTCGGAATTATGGTGCCCAAAGATTAAAAATTAGTTCCAAGTACTCCTAAGTATCTGGTTCAGGATCTCGGTCTTCACGTGCTTGTCCTGGACGTTCCCGGTCACCTGCATGGAGAGCCACTTGAGCACCACCATGCGCGGCTGCAGGCTCTTGGCGAGCACCTCCGACTCCTCCTTCTCCAGCAGGCCTATCTTCTCAAACTCCTCGAACGTGAAGGCAAAAGCAACATTCAGCGACTTGAAGGTGAGCACGAAGATGGTCATCAGGTAGCGGTAGACGTGCCACTTGAACTCCCACCTTGCGCCGGAATCCTTGTGCTCCTCAGCTGCCGCGGCACCACCCACAAGTAGCGCGATGTCAGCCACCCTGCCCTGGATGGTCCACCCACAGGCCATGACGTTCCACCACCACCCAACACGGCCAAGCACATAGAAGGAGAACAGGAACGTCACAATGCCTTTCAATTGACCCAGTGCTGACGCAACTGCAGCCAATGTATGGCTGAGGCTGGCCCAGTCTTCCTTTTCCACGACCATTACGCCCAAGCGGACGATTGTGAAGACCACGCTGCAGTACAAGCCAAAGAGCAGCGTCCAGTCAGCCACGTTGCTCATCGCAGTACATTGGCGCATGAGAGACCAGACGCCGCGACGTATGTCGAATGTCGGCTGGTAAGGTGTGCTTGAAACTGGCAACCGGACACCCCATAAGCCCTTCCTGAACTCTTGCTGTGTGCGGGTAATTGAGCTGAACTCATGGTTTGTCTTTGGCTCGCTGGTGTCACTTTTGGCAGAGTGACGGAAAGTGCTGACACCTGCCACGACAGTGAAGAATGTCACCGGCCATAGCAACTCGAAGAGCCACTTCGCATCATAATCGGGCTTGCACACAAAGTATGGACAATCCTCGTGCTTGAAAATCCAGTTGCCGCACACCACTCCTTCTTCCGAAGGCCCGGCGGGTGTGCCTAGGAATGGTTTCTGCGTGGACTCGCACCATCCACATACATCGTTGTGATGATGATTTGTATGACGTATGCAATAGCACTGAGGGGCCTTGTGGCACACCTCTTCCGGCGTTCCCCACTTAGAGAAGTAGGTCTGCTCGAGCTTCGAGATCTCAGAGTTGTTGGCCACAACTACACCACTGGACTCCTCCTGAGCCAGGGCAGAGCGCAGAGCAGATCTCGTCTGAACCTCCGCGGTGCTGCCCTCAGACTCCGTACCACGGATGCAATGCACCCCTGACAGCAGGTAGGAGCAGATCAGAGTCTGGAGTGCTACCGAAACTGCGGCCATGTATGGACTTGGATACGCATGGAATTGGAAAACAAGTGTCCGTGGGGCTGGATCGCCGAATTGATTTCAGCCAGATGCTGGAGGATGCAATTGATTTCAGCTAATCTCACTCAGAGGGGCTATGACAACAAGTTCTTTGAGCTGTGCAGCCTTTAGGGGATTTCGCTGCGACCGCCACTACCAACAGCACTGATCAGGCGGGTCTGAGTTTTTTGTCTTTGCAGGCCAAACTCCGCAACGACCTGTCGCTGAAATGCCTAGGAGTGATCGGCCTGTCACGAAGAGCCTTGGAGCTTCCCACTCAAGTACTCCATGCTCTTCCACATCTCGTCCTCTGAGAGAGCGCGGTCCCACACGATGACCTCCATGACACCGAAGTCAGATAATTCTGACGTGAAGCCCTCGTTGATGTACAAGTGGAACTCCTGGTGGACCGCAGCCTTCCTCTCACCGATATTTTTCCTCTCCGTGCCCGCGAAGACAACCCCCTGGCTGTTGCCACACATCACAAGCCAATCTGTCAAGGCCGGACCTACGTGGGGTGTGACCCAATTATTGTAATAAGCGAGAGGCGTGCGTTGATGCCAGTGGCCATGGAGGAAATTTGGCTGACCATTGCTTGTCAGAATGCGATGTTGCTGGCCTCCCTGGACATAGCGGGTGACCGAACAGATCGTAAAGGCGGGCTTCATGATCTTGCCGAAGTCAATTGAGGTCTGGGTATTGCCCGCAAGGTACACCACAGGCTTCGCAGCCCCATTCCCTGCTTCGACCTTTCTGGTGATGCTGCCTCTCGTCACCCGACCGGTAAAGCTGTTCACTGCGCTCGGCCACTGTGCATCCGCATCTTCGCTCTTGAACCAAGCCACCATGGAAGACTTGGCCGCGGGCTGCGGGCCCACGCTCCCCTGCAGGGTACGTAAAAACGTAAAATGTTCGTGCGGGATGGAGCAGTGTGAGGATGGGAGAGCAACAATCACGCAGCTAGACGCGAATGCTCTCTCTTTCGCGGGGATCATGCATTGACTCAAACAAGTACAGGAATCAGCAATCAAGTCTACGAGTGCCACCGCGGGCCTACAGTCTATCCGCTGGCAGACGCATGCACTGATCTTCACAGTTAGAGCACAAGGGTTGTCGAGTATTCTCAGGGTGGTCTTCTTGAGATCTGCGGGCAGAAAACCGCTGGTGCCATGTGGCTTCAACCGGTTTGAACAGCAGATGAGCATGAACATAAGAACACTACCCCCCGCAAAGGTATCCTGCCTTTTTCCAGATCAAGTACTCCATGCTCTTCCACATCTCGTCCTGTGAGAGAGCACGGTCCCACACGATGACCTCCATGACACCGAAGTCAGAGACTTCATTCTTGTTGATGTACAAGTGGAACTCCTGGTGGACCGCAGCCTTCCTGGTACCGATATTTTTCCTCTCTTCGCCCGCGAAGACAACCCCCTGGCTGTTGCCACACATCACAAGCCAATCCGTATCGCCCGAACCCTGGTGGTCCGTGACCCAAGCATTGTAATATGCAAGACCCGCTTTTTGATGCCAGTGACCATGGAGGAAATTGGGGTTGTTGTTTGTCAGAATGCGTTGGTGCTGGCCTCCCTGGACATAGCGGGTGACCGAACAGATCGTAAAGGCGGGCTTCATGATCTTGCCGAAGTCAATTCCGGTGTGGGTATTGCCCACGAGGTACGCCACAGGTTTCGCAGCCCCATTCCCTGCTTCGACTTTTCTGGCGACGCTGCCTTGCGTCACTTGACCCATCCAGCTGCCCACTGCGCTCGGCCACTGTGCATCCGCATCTTCGCTCTTGAACCAAGCCACCATGGAAGACTTGGCCGCAGGCTGCAGGCCCACATCTCCCTGCTGGCCGTCCGCGGGCCTGGCCTTGGGGTTTATAGCATCGCTGCAACGTGTATGTAAATCTTCGTACAGCATGGAGCAGTGCGAGGATGGGAGCATGGAGCAGCACTCACGCAGTTAGAGTCGGATGCTTCTCTTTCACAGGGATCATCAGTGACTCACACAAGTACAGGAATCAGTCATCAATTCTATGCACGTTATTTCCGTGACTTCCTACGCACGCACACACTACTGCACACACTTTCACACGTTCGGTTTGAACAGCACATCAATGAGCGTTCACGAAGACTCATTTGACCACTACCCCCCCGCAAAGGTATCCTGCCTTTTTCCAGTTCAGGTACTCCATGGTAGTCCACATCTCGTCTGCCGAGAGAGCACGGTCCCACGTGATGACCTCCATGACTCCGAAGTCAGAGAGTTCATTGAAGCCCCCGTCGTTGATGTACAAGTTGAAGTCTGCGTTGGCGAGATTACCGTGGGCGCTGGCGATGTTTTTCTTGTCTTCGCCCGCGTAAACAACGCCCTTGTTGTTGCCGCACATCACAAGCCAGTCGGTATTGCTTGGTTTGTTCCAGTCTGTGACCCACGTACTGTAATGAGCAACACCTGTGCGATGGTGATGATGGCCATGGAGGACGTTGGGAGAAACAGCTGAGGTGAGAATGCGCTCCTGCTTGCCGCCCTGGACATAGCGGGTGATCGAACAAATCGTGAAGTCTGGCTTCATGATCTTGCCGAAGTCAATTCCGGTGTGGGTATTGCCCGCGAGGTACACCACAGGGATTGCAGCCCCATTCCCGGCTTCGACCTTTCTGGTGACGCTGCCTTTCGTCACGCGACTCTTCCAACTGCCCACTGCGCTCGGCCATTCTGCATCCGCATCTTCGCTCTTGAACCAAGCCACCATGGAAGACTTGGCCGCAGGCTGCGGGCCCTCATCTCCCTCGGTCTCGGGGTCGGAAGACGGGTCGACAGGATCATCTGCCAGCTCTTCCTCCTGCAGTCTGTTTCGGGGGCTACCTGTTATATGAATTCATGGCATCGAAGTCAGAGAATTGCACCGTGAAGCCCTTACGTTTTTGGATGTGCAAGTTCTGTGGGTTGCTAGAGATAGATCTGAACACTTTCGGGCTGCATTCGGCCACATGGGGCAGCACTACGGGTGGCCCTGCAGCAGCAAGGTGATGGCAAGACTGATACGAGCCTTCCCGGAGTACTTGAGGGCGGACTTCACTGTGATCTTGGAATGGCCGGTGTCCGGCCCCCAGTATTGCATCTTGAAGACCTCGTGACCTCCCATCTCGCACATTTCCGCCGTCAGCTTGTGGAAACCGGCAGAGAGGTACAAGAGCTGACTTCCCTTCTCTTGCTCGCCATGGCAGCCATTGTTGTCCACGACCTTCTCGCCGTCCAGGTACAGGAGGGACCCTGAGAACGGGAGTCTGGCAAAGGCGGCGTTTGTTTAAATGCTGCACTTCCCCCTACTACTCAGCCAGGTAGCCGTCGTCTGAGCTTAGGTAGAACACATAGTCGCCAGCTTTCTCTGTGACCAATATGCCACTGCACCTGCACAGGTGGCACTTGCAAGACTTTGCCTGGAGTGGCTGCAGCTTCACGCAGCATAGCAGAGCGCCGAATGCCTCATGCAAAAGTTGTCCCCTTGTCGCACACCGGCTTGGGAAAACTGGCCGTGGTTCTGCAGGCAAGACCACATGCAGCACAGAGTAGGATAGTAAACAGGCTTGTATGGGGCTGGCTTTCCTGTAAACGATTCGCAACGTTAAACGCCAGGGGACGATTTTGAAACGGCATATCCATTTGCCGCAACCCAGAACCACTGATGCTGCAAGCCACAGGAATTTGGGATGTGAAGCACGAACCCGCCTATGATCCATCTATATTATATTATATTATATTATGTTATATTATATTATATGGGTTTGTGTTGTCCTTCCGCGATTTTTTGTGATCGCTTGTGCCGTGCAAGCCCCCGTGTTTTCGTGGTCGTGTTTGGTCTTGGCCTTGCTCCGAAGCACCCCCCGCAAGAACCGCCCTCCTTAACCCTAATTAGGGTTTAGGGTTTAGGGTGTAGGGTTACGTGTCCAAAGGACCCAAAAATAAGGTACTCAGGTTTAGGATAGTAGTTTTGTAGGTGAGGATTTCGGGGAGCATATGATCATTGGGCACTTGGACTTGGGGTAAGGCCTTGAATCGTTCTCGTTGAAATGAACGGAGGCCCTGACAGAATTGACAAAATCTGGATCAGGTCTACTCATTTTCTATCCTTGCTAGACCACGGAAGCTGCACGTCGAGTTGCTTTGGCTTAGGTTGACCCGAATATCAGCTAGATAAAAAAACCCAGGCACTCGCCCCAACCTCACCTCAAAGACTGAACTGCGTAACCTACAACTAGTTGCTAAAACGCCGTAAGGCCCTTTCCCGGCAGCGGCGTCGTGGTCAAAATTCAACCCCACTTGCCTGCACAGTTTGGTCAACCTCGGCCCCGAGTAAGCTTATGTTTAAGCCGCAGAGATTGAAATCTATAATGAAATATAATAAAATATAATGTCATATCATATCATATCATATAATGAAAGAGGGTGCCACCCCAATGCCCAACAAATGCAACACGAAGACGAACTAAAATTTGGACACCGTCTGAAAACGCTGGTTAGATCCTCTCAAACTCGCGAAGGAGTGGCGAAGGTACGGCACGGCTGGAGTTGGCAACCTGCTTCTGACAACATTTTGGTCTAAGGGCAATTCGTGTTGATATGTTCCCTGTATAAACCCTGTATATCCCTTATGTAGCCCTATACATCCCTTATACAAGCCCTTAGACTGCTTATGTAAGAGCTGCGCCAGACCTTCCCGCGTGTCCGCGTCTTCCGGCAATCGCGATCTATTGTTTCCCTAAAGGGTCCCAAGGACCCAAATAGTAGGGTTTAGGGCGGGTCATATTTGGGCTTAAGGCCCTACTATCTGGGTCCTTGGATCCCTCCCCACGCGCCCCCGGTTCTAGGCACCAGTCAGGGAGGGGCCACCCTCGCAGAAATCGACAGTGAATAGTTGCGTCAGCACTGGCGCAGTGCGAGAAAGTGATCAATTCGAAGCCAGCTTTGCATCAGGCTAGCGCAGGAGAACTTACCCTAAGGCTCCTGGTGGAACATTTGTTGGGATTCCCGGATGCCACTCAACTTTGTCTCTGTGTGGTTGTGCCGCTGTTTCGGATTGTGGGCTCATTTGTAATTGTAACAGTACTAATTTGTTGAAGGTCTTCAATGACAATATGCGTGGTCTCTTTTGTCTTGCTGTCGAACAACGGCATCGGGGTTACAAGCTCCGTGTTTCGTGTGTGAGCTGCAACTGTCTCAGATTCCCTGGGCCAGTCCAGGAAGATCTCCGGCACAACCCCGCTGTGGGCAGGTGTCCTTCCGAGCAACGAGTCAAGTCGGCAACGAAAGCACTATCTCAATGACAGCACCTGTGGAAGACCCACCAGTTCTGCCGGGCGTCATCGCTTCGAGGTTTGGGATGTTGCACTGCGCCTGGTTGTAGAAGTAGTCGCACTTCAAGCCGTCCGACAAGTGCTGTCAGAGACGCAATCGACACAACAACAAACGGGGCCAAAAGCTTTGTTCCTGCTGGGGGTGCAAATATGCCGTGACATTCCGAATGCACTGGGCCATCATGTGGCTGTTCGACACAACCCACGAAAACACGGGGAATTTACAGAAATAAAACAAAGGCCTTGACATCATGTTGGAGGGCGGACTTGGGCACCGTAATCTTGTGATTGCCGGTGTCCGGCCCTTGATATCGCATCTTGAAGACCTCACCACCGCCCACTTCGCACATGTCCACCACCAGCTTGTGGGAACCGGACAGGAGGTACTTGTGCGCACTTCCCCTCTCTTGTTCGCCATGGCAGCCATTGTTGTCCACGACTTTCTCCCCGTTCAGGTACATGAGCGAGCCTTGCAAAATGAATGTGATGTGGCAAGAGCGGACTTCGTCAGACTGCTACGTCGCCACTAGCCAAGTAGCCGTCGTCTGAGCTTAGGAAGAACTGATAGTCGCCAGCTGTCTTGGTGACCAAGTGACCTGTGCACCTGCACATGCGGGACTAATTCTTTTAAGACGAACTTTGCCTAGAGGCGTAGAGTAGCATTGTTTTGTGCTGCATGAGCAGCGCCGACTGCCTCATGCAAAACTGGTCCCCTTCTCGTACGCCTAGGCTGCGATACTGTCCGTTGTCCTGCAGGTAAGAGCAAATGCAGAGACGGACCAAGCTCGTCTGTCCCAGGCCGAGTGTTGACCCCAGTCCATGTGAATCTTTGGCAAAACCACGCTGTGGGCCGGTGTCCTTCCGATCACCAGATTGCCAAGAAAGACACAGTGTAGAAAGTACTCATAATAATGCTCTAAACTCAATTCTGTCAGGCGTCAACGCAGCGAGGTCTGGGATGTTGCACTCCGCCTGGTTGTAGAAGTAGTCGCACTCCAAGCCGTCCGCCGTGAACGGCTGTTGCAGGGCAAGATTTGAGGAATAAACTCATGTAGTGAACCCTATAAAGCCTGATATGTGAAAGGAATGTGAGATCGAATCTAGGCGGTCACGACAAAATTCTGCACGATCTTATCAAGCCCGGCACTGCTGGACATCCACACTGCAACAACTTCATGCAACTCGCGAGCTGACTCTACGCACTGCAGTCTCCGTCCAGGCAGGGCCTTAGCGTCGCGCTTGAGGGCCCACGTGGGGATTGGTCTGTTGCCACCGCCGCTGTCCGGCCCTTGATATCGCAGCCTGAAGGCCTCGCCACCTCCCACCTCGCAAAAGTCCACCACCAGCTTGTGGGCACCTGCTGCCCAGACCTTGGGCACAGAGAACCTCATTTGTTCGGGGTGACACCCGTTGTTGTCCACGATCTTCTCCCCGTCCAAGTACAGCATAGATCCTAGCGACCAGGAGGCACCGATCACTTGCGTTTTTCCTGCATCGGCTGTGTTGTTCAACAGACACTTGGCTGGATCAGCAGGGGGGGGTTCGCGACAGTTCATCCATGTGCAGTACCGCGGCAGGCCCCACAAGGCCAAAATGAACACACAGACATCTGTACAAACAAAGCCCGAGCACAAGAGATTGAACGACTAACGCTGAAAGGCCAATCCATAATTGTGCTTGCCGAGCACCATCGTCTGAGGCAGTCATGAAATTGTACGTGCCGGCTTTGTGTATCAGCACATAGCCCTTGCACCTGCACAGGGCTCGTCGTACTGAAACCTGAAAAAAAAACAAATACTCTGGAAAGGTAAGGGGGGCGGCGGGCCGAACCGTCAAACTTGGTAGTAGTAGTAGTTGTTGTAGTAGTAGTAGTAGTAGTAGTAGTAGTAGTAGTAGTAGCAGCAGCAGCAGTAGCAGTAGTAGTAGTAGTAGTAGTAGTCGTCGTCGTCGTCGTCGTCGTCGTCGTCGTCGTCGCAGTCGCAGGAGTAGTAGCAGTAGTAACAGAAGCAGCAGCAGCAGCAGCAGCAGCAGCAGCAGCAGCAGCAGCAGTAGAAGCAGCAGTAGAAGCAGCAGTAGAAGCAGCAGTAACAGTAACAGTAGCAGGAGCAGTAGCAGCAGCAGCAGCAGCAGCAGCAGCAGCAGCAGCAGCAGGAGTAGTAGTAGTAGTAGTAGTAGTAGTAGTAGTAGTAGTAGTAGTAGTAGTAGTAGTAGTAGTAGCAGCAGCAGCAGCAGCAGCAGTAGTAGTAGTAGTAGGCACCCCCCCCCTACCAACTACCCAGCAGGATGCTAACATCCATGTTCCCACTGCGTGGCGGGTGGGGGGGGCTATTGCGTTCCTGCCAAGGCTTCATGCCAAAGCTCCATCTCCTGTTTTTCACCCGAAGCCGAAACCTTCATGCCAAAGCAGACCGACAGCGATTGCGCAAGCAGCTCCTGCAAGCCGCAGGCTTGCTCCAGACCCTCACCAGCTTTCTGCTCGTGTAATCCTCCGACGGGGGTTGGTCAAGTCCTCGCATTCCCCGCGGTGCGACCAGGGGACCGTGCCAGGGCTCCGTCCTGCTCAACGTCATCTTCTGCTACAGTGGCCTGCATTTGCGTCAACATTGTGCACACGTCTTGGCAGATGCGCAAAAAGTTCTGACTCGCGAACATCTTGTTCTCAGTCCCAACCAGTGGACAACCAACATGTGGCGCCCAGTCGCGTGCACCATCGAAGACGTGACATGCGCTTTTTGAGCACTCCATAAGAGAGTCGACAGACTGGGATCTCCTTTAGTTCTGAGCGATAGCTGTGCCTCGTTTTGGTTGGAAAATGAAGGGTCGCCTGTGGAGACCCTGTTCCCCGAACAATGCTTTAGACACAAGACACACCAACCAAAAAAAGGTTCTGCAGAGAAGGCAAGTAGTCAACCCCAAACCCTCAACCCTAAACCCAAAGCAGCCAGGGTTTGAAAAGCCGGAAAGCCTCAACCCAAAACCCTGAACCCTCAACCCTAAACCCGAAACGAGCA